GCGCAGGCGGTGATCGTTGCTGTGTGCGAGTTGCTCGATGCATAGCACCCGCATTCGTTCTCATTAGCTATGCGACGGGCTACAAAGTTGATTATTCAGAATTTCAAGCCTTTATATGGGATTTTTTGACATATACACCGACGTTATATAGGACGAATAGGGAATGATAACGAGCGTACGTGCGTGCGTGCGAATGTGTGCTTGTGCATGCGTGCGCGAGTGTTTGAGTGTGTGTTGGTGTGCGCGCGTGCTTTTAACCATGAAAATGGCTGATAATGAATATTCCCCAGCAATCTTGACAAAGGACATACTACGCCATAGTTACGCGCATGATGCACTTACTATGGGTTGCCAGCAAGCGCGTGTTTATTATGAATTCACGCCATCAAAATGCGATAACTTTTTACGGCATTATATGTACACCGTAAATTTAATGACCATGTTCAGATATACATCGCGCACACACCGCACGGCACTCAACTCACTCTTCACTCACTCGATCACGTGCACTCACTACACTCACTCACTCACATCGTACTCACGTCAACTCACACTCACTCACTCACTCACTCACCTCACTCATTTCTCACGTCACTCACCACTCACTGGAGCACTCATCACTCCACTCACTCACTCACCATCAACTTCGCTCAGTCACTCTACTCACTCACACACACACGCATGCACACAGCACACACACACACACACACACACAGGACGACAAACACAGCACACATACATCACACATCACACACACACACACACACACACACAACCACACAACACACCACACACTGCACACACAACATCACAACACAACACACACACCAACACACACACACCACACACAGCAACACACACACCACACTTCACACCGCACACGCACACGCAAACACAGACACAACAACACACACACACACACACACACACACACACACACACACACAAGCACGCGAAAATGCGCACGGGCGCATGCACCCACGCAGGAATCCGTGCACACAAGGATGTGTAAAGAAAGCGCATATTCCACTAATTATTGATAGCCTATGATGTATGGCATAGCGGTTATGCTCGTTACAAATGGCCAGGACATTCACGGATAAATTCAGTGCTCGGCGGCGCATTACTATAATGAATAAATTGATCACTGGCGTTGCAGCTTTGTAACACGATATAACAACGACGTCGTACGAATGCAAAGACATCGTCGCTGGCACGAGCGCGTTTCGAGTCTCGCCCGCGCTGGGGGCGCGCGCCGACGTACTGCTGTGTTTGAATATTCACAGCTTTTTCGTGCGACTCCGATATTCGCATACACCCGGCATTCTCGTTTGCCTGAGAGAGACACGTGAGACACCGCTTGACACGTACACACGCGCGCGCATGAGCGTAGCGGCCTCGGCGAGAGCCAACATGGCCGCTTAAAATCGGACTCGATTTCAAAAAAAGCACGCGCGTGGCTTTTTGCCCCAAAACAGTGCTATACACGGGTATAGAGCTAGGTGGCAGAGAGCTTCGCACAATCGCTCGTTCCAGTCAGAGGCCATTCGTAGCTATATCTAACTCTATCTATGTGTTCATTTATGTTCACGTAGCGCGTTCATTACATGCATGTACGACCACGCGAATCTATCAGATAGCATCCGCAATTCATGCTGACATTTAGTTCATCGTGGAAAGTTACAACATTAACCATCACGACCGACACAGATTAAATTTGTCCCGCTATTAAAGATGGCGTCCCGCGCGTAATATTTTTTAAGTAATTCGTCACTAATTACAGCCATTCCCATTTAAATAGTATACCGACTAGAATTAGCAATTGTCGTTACCGGATTGAAGACGCTTTTCCATAATACGCGTAGGAAAACCCAGAAAAACGCGCTTCGCCGATATTTTACGGTTAATGGCGGTAAGATGTAGCCTAAACATAATTAATTCGCGAGAGCGACACCTGTAACACCTTTCGGAGCAATGAGGAGCGGCAAATGCAAATGTCGCTGATAGCATTCGTCTCATAATTTATTATTTCTTGTCAAAGGCATGGAATAAGGCATGGAATCAATTCTATGTACTTGTCACACGCTTATAGACGAGCATGGCGCATAATTCAAAGTAACTATTGTTTGCCAAAATAAATACTAGGCGGCACGATTCAAGTGGGCTGGCACCTTTAAACTTCGAGCGATAAATGACCGCCTTGACAAATAAGCATTGTCTGTACTCAGCCCCGGCCGTGATACTAATGTTATTTTGTTTGTATAAGAAAACTCGCCCATAACGAGATATTAATTTTTACAACGATCTATACGAGCGCATGCAGTAGACATAAATTCAACTTTCGCCGGAGCATCTGTGCGGCAAGTCCATTATCGGCATGCAGAGCACGTTCTATTATATGAGCTACTCTAGGCTCTACGAGAATAGAGGCAGCTGCAGCACATGCAGATCGCTAGTGCGTTAGTAATTAGCAGTCCTCTCGTGGCCGGTAGTAAAACACATATGAATAATTATTTTAGGTGATCGCGGCAGACGCGATATTACGCAGAATTTCAACAAACTCGCGACAATTTGGCCGACGGCAATTATTATAGTTTCGTTCGAAATGATGCGGGCCGAATTCAATAAGCGTGCACAATTTACAACATTGATCTCCCTCGGGCGCTCGCGTGTGCAGGAATCTCGCTGAATATGCCTGGAATCGGAGCGGGATTACCGTGTACGGGCAGCTATCACGCTGTTCAGTTCACAAAGCAAGCTAAAGTTGCTTAGAGCGGGCATTACTATCGAATGTCAGTGACGCATGAAAAATAGAACGGATAGCAGGCCTAATAGGTTTTACAGGCCATAGCATTATCGCTTTACAATACGCATCGATAGACTCGCGACAACGTCTATATGCTCCTGTGTGCATATAGTGTGCGGCTGTAGTATCTCTCCGCGCCAAATCTGTCTATTCTTTCTAGTCGTAATTCGTACATGAACTGTGCTCCAGAGAGGACCTTATAATATATATATATATATATATATATATATATATATATATATATATATATATATATATATATATATGAGATATGGTCTTCTGCAGCGAACAGTTCAGCTGACCAATCACCTGGGGTATGGACTGACCACTGGTCGGCGGGTGGTCGCAGAATTAGAGATTAGAACGACGTGAGCAAGTGCAGCAGCGCGCTTAGCTGCCGCGGGGGAGCGACTGTTATAGTAGTTATGTATGCGCTCGCCATCTGCATGAGTGCTGCGCGCTGTAGAGTATATTGGAAGGCACTCTGCTCGTCTTCTGCTGCCTGCAGTCCGACGAGGATTGGCGCGGCTTTGAGCGAAATTGCGTGCTCTTTCTGCTTGATGGCCCAATGAAGGGTAACGTAAGTCGTTTTCGCAAATTGCAAATCTACTCAGAGGTCCTTAATTATACTGACCGTCTGCATGGCTCATCTCTCTGAGTCTTTTATGAACGCGACATCGTCCCTTTTTCCAACCTATCTCTCACATCTTCTTCTCTCCAACATTCCCCGTCTCTCTCTTCCCCTTTCCCCTCTCTCCTGTCTCGTCTCCCCTTCCTCTTATCATTCATCGCCTCTTTCTCGCTGTTTCGTTCGATTTCCCTCCCACTCTTTGGCCGTTTCGCTTCTCGTTTACGTCTTTTCTCGCCACAAAAAGCCACTGTTTACATATGGTGTTCCGTGCCCGTGTACTATACGACTACGTGGAGCGGAATTCTATGTCTCAGAGGGTCCACCGAGCAGAGGATAGATGCAGTGGGTAAGGGCAACAACGCCTGTGTGAGACCGCGTTTGCTAGAACGCCGGACGCGTGCGCGCGTGCGCGCGTTTTTTGCCTATCGATGTGATGCATTTCAAAAGGTGTCGTTTCTTCATTGATGTGTACTTGGATTGCGCGCTCTCGCCTGCTAGGTAGGCAGGCGATCGATGATTTGTGCACACGCGAGTCTCATGGTTCTGTCCTCGCTGAATGAGAATTCTATACAGATTCTGACTACACGGGTGCCTTAAACATAGGCGAATCAAAGCAGAATTTCACCACAAGGACGTTTCTGCCCTTACCGAGAGAGAAATCCAGGCAGATGCGGATGCTGATCGCAATGGGTGCCGAACACAGAGAAAAATGAAGGCTGATTTCAACCACGGGCAGCGCGCTTCTGCCCTTGCCGAGCGACAAATTAAGGCAATTCTCACCACGCGAGAGGGGGCGCGAATGCGGTGGCGAGGTCAACACATCACGCTATGCGCCTTGGCTTCACGCGCGCAGTCGACAGCGTACTCGCTGCATCCGGCCAAATCCCGGATCGCGGTAACCAGGTACGGCCGGAGAACCGGACCTCAAGAGTGTCCCTCGTAAGAAATAAAAAAAATAAGAGAGAAAATCCTCGGCCTCTAACTAGTGACGTTGCGGCGCGAAGAATACGAAAATGTCACGCGGCGCGCAGAAGTCTGATCACGAAACGTCGATCGTCCTCGAACGGATTTTTATTCAGCTGACTTCGGCTTTCGGTCGACCGCACGCATATAGCATGCATGGCGCTCATATAACATGCGTAATACGCGCGTAGCATGCATGCCACGCATGTAACCTGCATAATACGCGCGTGTAACAAGCATTAGACGCATGTATCATGCATGCCACGCGTGTAACGCGCATGATATAGCTATAGGGTGCATCCTATGCCTATAACATGTATGTCAGGCCTGTTACATGTATGACACGCGTGTGACATCGTAGGCATTATAGCAGCAATGCCGCACAGCGGCGGCCTTTCGAGCTGCAGTTCGAACGAGCCAATGAACGAGTGAACGTGCGACCGATCGAACGAACGAACAAACAAACAAACGAACGAACGAACAAACAAAAGAACGAACGAACGAACGAACGGCAAAACGTACAAACGAACATTGTCGAACGACCGACCAAACGGACGAGCGAACGACCGAACAAACGAACGATCGAGCCTGCGAACGAACTCACGACCAAAAACACGCGGGAACGAACGCATGCACACAATGACCTTTCGTTATACTGTCGCCTGTGGAAACTGCATATCTTCCTGAATCACGTGATTCGGGTTCAGCTGCTCCTGCTCGCCGACGACTTCCGGGTCGCCTTCGACGTCGACGTGGCTCGCGATGCCAGGCACGATTTTCGACATGCTGGCCAGGCTGCCTTTGTATCGCTGCAGGTACAGCGAGATGTTGATGACCGCCGTTATCTGCCACGAGTCGTAAAATAACACGGAAAATATTAAAGAAAAAACACGCGTAATCACTCGAATACAGCAACAAAATCCATGAAATATAATGAGATATTTCGTGACGCTGGCACTTACGAGGCCGGCAGCTCGTACGCAGTTTGTAAAGCGATCCATAAATAAAAAAAAGCCGCGGTGCGCGCGCGCGCACGACATATTATATGGTGTATACGCCAACGGCATCATCGGCAATTCGAGTCAAAATATCACATCGGCATACGAATGCATGCTTGTAGGGCAGGCGATAAATTATTTAACGAACGCTTGATACGCAATTCTGTACGGTACTGTAGTATTGTCAAGGGTGCGCGTCAGCCGGTTATAGCTTCACACCGGCACGCATGCGCCTGCGAGCTCCCCGTATGCTTACGCAATTCTCTACTTGTTCGGGCGGCCGCTGCACGCCGCTCTAGTAGCACAGCGCAGGGCTACGCGGTGCAAACCAGCCGATATACGTACCTGCGAGAATACGAACGAGGTTCCGGCGAGGAAGAACGAGACGCCGTACCAGTAGCGGAACTTGGCATCGTTGCCGCTCTTCGACGAGTTCGTCGCCTCGTCGTTTATTGCTGATATGTAGAGAATGATTCCGAGCGCGCACATCATGCCTGCAACATACCGCACAGCCCTAGCTCATTCAACCGTCAGCATCTATTGGTCTCACGCGTAGAGACGTCCATACGTACACACCGCCATTAGTAGTTATTCCTGTCAGCGCGCATTAAATAAATGAGCGTCATGAGGCCGCCCCGAGAAGAGACGCTGTTTATGGAAGCAGAAACCCGTCATAAACGCAACCACCCGACACGTGGTAATTCGAATTGCCACGTGTCGCTATTTAATTACAACACGTCGATAATATTTCCGACACGTTGCAATTCGAATTACAACACGTCCTTAATTCTTTCGACACGTCGCAATTCGAATTGCAACGTGTCGAAAGAATTAACGACGTGTTTTAATTCGAATTGCCACGTGTCGAAAGAATTAACGACGTGTTGTAATTCGAATTGCCACGTGTCGAAAGAATTAGTGACGTGTTGTAATTAGAA